TAGCCTGGTGCACCATGGTCAACAAAATAGACAAATATGTGATCATTAGCGGTACTGTTGACTACTTTTTTGCCTGATTTAGCCAACTCTTGGTCGCCTTCGAGGGCAGCAAAAAAGTTCTGTAGTACAAGTATAATAAATGTTGATTAATAACAAAAATGCTATTTAATTAAAACAAATAAACATGTTTGTATAACTGTCAACATATAATTACCTTGACGGTATGTTCTTCACCGGTATAATCTTTAGGCACACCGGCGTAAACATCGTCACCACCGGGTCTGTTGACCACAACACCGGGTGTAGGATTGCTAGGGTTGGCGGCGATATCATCGTAATGAAACACGATGATATTTTCTTTGGGCACACCTTGGGCAACGGCTATTTGGTAGCCGTGGTATATATTTGCCTATGGTGAGATTTTTAAATATTTTGTAAGTTTAACGGAATTAAATTAAAATAAATTATAATTAAGAATAGTATTGGTTATGGTAATAATTTGCAATTTATTTGTTTCAATTTATTTAATCGCTATATTGAAAGTTATGTTTTATTGGGAATAAAATAAAAAATAATCTAAACTTATTTTGAGTATAAATCTTACAATAAATTCAGTTAATCAAGTTGTGCACATATACCATTTTAATAGACGTACCTGAAACCCGTAATCACGCCATCCCTGACTGCCGGCCACTAATACTACCCACGCTTTGCCACCAAATGGCTGCCGGGGCTCAAACTGTAAGGCACTGGCCATTGATAGGGATAACAATAGAGGAACAACGCATAAGAGTTTCATTGTGGTCAGAATTGTTGAATTAATTAAAAATGAAAATTAATAATTAACCTTAAATATTAGATATACAGTACATGTATTGTGCTTTTATGGCATTAAATTATAATCAAACTTTATAATATAATCAGAAAACTCCCAATTGGTCTTGCTAATTGAATTAATATTGCTAGGTACTAATACCACCTGGCTATAAGCACACCAATTTCATAAGATTTCTTAGAAATACTTATATATAAAAATTAACAGTGATTCTAATCAGATGATATATTATTGTTTTTTATTTTTACTAATTTAAAGTACCATGATAAGATAGCATTAAAAGTTTTATTGGCTCGATTTATAATAATTTTGTTTTAAGACTATTTTATATGCGTTATTAATATAAATTATTAAGTTTAATTATTGTTATTTAAATTAATTTAAATTATTTAATGTTTATGTAATTTGACTGAAAATAACAAAAATATATTTCTTACTAGTATTATAATAACAAAATATAAGATAGTAACTTAAACTACAAATCTGTAATAAAATGTTATACTTGTATTTGTAAATATTTTGACAGTTTATAACACTAAATCTAGAGAGAGAGAGAGAGAGAGAGAGAGAGAGAGAGAAAACTATATAAACTTGCAATTAATATTACATTTTTAATTCTTAGAGCAATCGAGATATTAATCAATTAATTAGGTTTGAGTTTTAGAGTAAATATTTAATGATTTTTACATTAATTTTATACAAAAAAAATATGAAACACAATCGATGTGTCGTTAAAATTAATATTAAAACTTGAAAATTAAAACTTGTGAAAGAGGAGAGAGAGAGAGAGAGAGAGAGAGATTTTAATAATAAAAATTATTTAATTTAAATCATTATAAATTTATAAATTTCAAAGTTCTATTTAATCTCGATGGGATATTGGTGCACATGTTTTTGACAATACTGGGACAGCATGAACACTGCCCGTTGCTCAGCACCTGATCCAGTTAATTGTTCGCAAATATTAATCAACACGTTCATTTTGCCCAATGCGTAAGTATTCTAGAAAAATCATATAAAACAAATGTTAAACTAATATTATACATAGTCATCTAGGTATAACTCTGTAACACACCTGATTAATATTAAAGCAATTATCATTAAAGGTGTCCACCATTTGTCGATAACAGACCCGATTCTCAATTGTTTGTTTAGTGGTCAGCACCTCATCGACTGTCAAACCGTGCAAATGCTTAATACTAGACACGTATTGCCGCAAATGACTGTCCATATACTGTCTGCCCGCTAACAACTGTTTCAATTCTTGAGTTAACCTACATTTAAAAGACATTATTTTACCAGTTTTACGAGTTAATTATCAAAATAAATATTTATATAAAAAATCATTAATTTTACCTCAACTTCTCGTGCATATCGTTGGTCTC